GCAAAAAGAATAGACTAAAAAGTTAATAAGCAGCAAAGACAGCAATATTGTTCCTGTGTTCGCCGAGCTTCGTAACTGGTATACAAACGTTTCATCACCAAACGAGGTGACTTCCTCAGTACGCTGCTGGGTCAAATGTAATCCGCTGACTTGGCCGTCGATTTGCGATCAATCAGCAAGTGACTTTTGTATTGACCTCGATCTGTGCCCCGTGAACTTCACCCATCTACCTAACTTTTCTGATACACACCGGCGATCCGTGGGATGGTTTTGCCCCGGCTTTTGTGATTGTGTTGTTGATGGCTCATTTAGCTGCCCATGACGGGTTTTAAGCTGTTTTAGTTCTCCGTCTTAACGTTTGGTAAACTGTGTCAATCTCGTGTGCTTCGTCGAGTACTACGCTTCGAGGAACTATCTTTCTTTACGTTTATTCCCTTGTGCTAGGACATCTGAGTTGTTACAATCGAAACGATGCTCTTTTTCGTTAAAGTGTAAATTTACTTGTCAGCTCCATAACCATTGAGGTATGATTGCACAAAAAGCGCGCCAAATATGAGATTACGGATGACTGGTAAGCCCTTGTACGGGAATATATGGATCTGTACTTTTGCCTAGTTGAGGAAGTTGATATACCGTCAGACAGTGCACCATAAATGGAGTGACTTGCATCAGCGAGTATATTTTGAGCAAGCCTTTTGCATGAATTGGGGTGAGCGGATAAAATAATGTCAACAAAAGTGGTCTTTAGAATACCACTCGATCGAGACAGTTGTCTCAATGACGTATCTAGGATTTCGAAATGCTTCCTTAAGAAACCGGAGAATCTCACAGATGAGCAGTAAGTCCAATGAGGTAATACACAAGTGGTGGTAAATTGCAGTGTTAGCGCGGGACATAGGAGGATCGCAAACGAGCAGCGTAAAAGCAAAGCTTCCTCACTTTTGTAAAAACTTCATTCACATGGAGTGACCACAGCTGAGTGTAACACTTAGATACTTCACAGACTCGGTGGAGTGCAGCCACTCACCATTGATGTGAACTTTGGGGCGATCCACTAGAAGTTGCTGATAACGACGGTCGTTGTGAAGGAAAAAGAACCTCTCTGCATTTCAATGCATTTAGTGATGAAAAGTGAGCTCTGGACCATTATGCAAGGTCGTCCAGATAGGCTTGTAACTTGATTGATGAGGCTGAGGTCGGATGCTGGATACCTAAGACCACTCGTCTGCATATTTCAGCGATATCGCTTCGTCAGGAGCGGATAATGAGGCGACATAAGTGGAAAAAGATATGGTGACAATATGGCTCCTTGAAGAACCCCGGTGGCTGTGGTGAGTAGCGAGGAACTTTTGCCCCTAAGTCGAGTAAAATGGGCACGTCCAGAGAAATAGTCCCTCAGCAGGTGGACAGTGGAATGTTGGATTCCGGTATCACATAGGACTCTCAAAAGAAGCTCACGGTTTACACTGCCGAAAGCATTGCTATAGTCGAGAAAACATACTCGCACGGATTTGATCTTATTGTTCACTGACGCCAGCACTGAATGTACAAGATAGGCTAGTGCGTCTTCAGTAGTCCTCAGTTTACGATAAGCAAACGGAAACTGATCATCTAGAAGAGTTATTCTTTTAAGAATAATCTCGATGACCTTCAGGTTTACTGAGGTGCAAGCAACTGGCCGGTATTTATCTGAGCCTTTTTTGGCGCCGATGTAATTTTAGCATTTCTTTAACATTTGGCAGTTTCACATCCCCCCGTATGCACGACGTGTATGAGTCAGCAAGAAACTGGGTCAAGGAATCGGCACATACCTTGAGGACAAGGAGAAATAATCCGTCCGGGCCACCTGATTTGTTGGAATTTAACTTTAGCATCTGATTAAATACTGTATTACTGTCAATGGCACATAAAGAGATTGTTGGACTGTCAATTCGGGGGTAGGAAGGGTAGTTAGCACTGAAACAACAAAGTTTTCCGTTCAGGTCTTCAAGGTCTACATCTGGATTTGACCTCGGTGAGTGACACCATGAAGTTGTTTCAACATCCGCCAGACCTCACGGCAGCTATTGTTTCCGAGTATGGTCTGGACATACAGACGGTTTAGACAGCACAACTCTTACTTGCTAGAAATAGAAAGAGACTTCACTGCAACGTGGGCTTTCTGTAGGAACGCTTTCTCTTCCAGTCTACGCAGGCGTTTTAGACACGGACATGAAAACCGATCAGCGCGGATACAAATCGTATTCAGTGGACTAGGTATCGGAACAGAAGTTAAGAGAGCCCGTTAACTGGTCACAGTAGGTAGCTAAATCACTGTCAAGGAATATATTAAAGTCTGTGGATGCAATCATTTTTCGTAGTCGATATATGTTCTGAGGTGAATATTGTCTTCTTTTAAGCTTACCATCTTTACAGCGAGTGAGCTTCATGTGATTTATTTTGCTCTAGACGACAGGAGATAACTTGACCTTCGAGTGATCAGAGCTACCAATCGTTGCCTGATTGCACACAAAAGCAACCGCATTATTTACAAATATCAGACGTAGGGTTGCTTCAAGTCTATTGGGAGAGTTTACATTTTGTAACCCGAGATCAGTCAAGAAAATTGTGTCAAATCTGTGGAAATCACCAGCAAAAATTCAGCGAGAAAGATCAATGTGGTCGACGACAGTTGAAGTGAATACCTTCGGAGGTGGGGCAGCTAGGGGCAAGTAGATATTTGCTAGTAAAATCGATTGGTAGCGGCTTAAACAAGTACCTACCGTTTGTCCGCGCTGCTGTAAGGTTACCAGGATCAGGCACCGCTGCGCATGCAAATTCGTGTTGAATCTGCACGCCGCGGAGTCAAATGTACACATCCTTATTCGCAGGTCGCAACACGGTTTTCTAAACTATCACTCTCGCCCTCGTGTCATTTCGACGAATGTGTGAACTGAAACCAACGTACAGTGCGGCGGCATCAAGTCACAGCAGGTCGATTTTATCGCGTTCCCTGTCACCCCATTGAATGACCCCGACGTACGAATGGTGACAGTACATTTTGTCCTCCTCCCCCTTTATTCTTACCTGGATAGACAGATCTATTCTCTAGGCCACTGGCTACTTTATATTTTGTTCCAACACACTCCGTTTATGATCGCGAGATTAGCGGTTAGAGTCTAGTTTGAGTGTGCATTGCAAATAAACATCGGGTTTGTGGTGGCTTCTATTTTACCCTCCTCTGTCTGACATTTTTGCTTCTCAATCGCTCGCAAATCTTGTGTGAGGAAAACGCTATCATCTCATGACGGCCGTAATCACTCGTTACACGAGAAAGCAAAGTGCCACCAGTCAAGCGGTCACAATAACCGTCAATAATCCCACTCCCAGCAGCACACAAGACAATGTTGAATCCTCTGGATTACAGGATCGAATAAATTTGCTTGAAAGAGCCGTGATAGATTTGCAAGAAAGTTTAGCTTCTGTTAAACCCCTGGTTCCTATCATGGATTCCATCTTCGACTTGATTAACACACTATCGAATACGTCATCCGACCACTTGCATATCGCTGCTAACTTTACTTTTGTAGCTTCCACTGAATTGTCTGAGTCAGTTATCCGTGCAAGTAATGCCATATGGTGTCTCAGACATGCTACCTCTTAAGAAGCTGAAGCATTTGCTTCTAGACACCAATGGGCTCCAGAATGAAGTGTTTTGCCGTACGTGCCCGGTTTTACTGAAATTCAAAAAAGCTGAGAACAAAATTGGTAATATGGAATGTCTGTTCTAAGAGTGTAGTTATAAGGTCAGATAAGATACCACTTGAGCGGATGCATGCGCCTGTTCCAAAGAAACACTATAATGCACCCAACTCCTCGCGAACTGCCTTACGAACTACATGCCATGATGGTATCCACACGAATGTTCACTGCGCAGCTGATCTAGATGACTCCGCGGCTACTTTTGAATGCTTACCAACACTACCGACCTCAGGTAGCAATGTCGCTCCCATCCAGACATTCAATTCTATCTCAAATGATGCTACCCGGACAGAATTAGTGATAGATCTGACATTATCCACAGATCTACATAGATGCCGCTCTAGTTCTCAGGATACTGTTGCCACAGATGGCGCAAGTCTAGACAACATGATCAGCTTCAACGCTACACAGGATTCATCATGGGAGCTGATGAATAGCATGAAAATTCGTACCTCCGTTGACACACGCTGCAGCTTTAACAACACCAACAAAGCCACTTCGATTAACTCGACCAAGTTAAGAAAGTAAGCACCTCAGAGCACACTCATGTCATTTAGCAATCCTGATACTATTCCAGCAGATGAAGTATTAAAAAGTCTTACGGAATACTCCGATTTGAAAGGGAGATTATTATCAGTAATCAGGCTAACACAAAGACGAGCTGATTACCCCACCCTATAAAGCTCTTACTTTCTTATCCGTCTGCGCGAATTCACTGCATAACCAGTGCGCTCGACTCCACCGACTGACACCGTATAATAATCTAACATTAAGACATCCATGTACTTATAGTTCAATAGGCAAATCGACTATGTTTACTACAACACCACTCACCCCAAGCCTGAGAGCTAAGGCTGCAAATAATGTCCCAAACGAGGTTCTAACGTCTGAATCCCATACATACCAGGTTCCTTTTTTCGGTTTATCGGCGACTACACGGTCGCCGACCCGAATGAATCAACAGGTCTTGCAATTCTTCCAACAGATCATCAACTTATCCCAAATATTCTAGAAACCTGTATACCGAATATACTCACGCAACTTCCTGCACTACATGGGATGATGTCCTTTGTCCAACCATATACAAATAGTCAGTAATTCTGCCTACGCAACGTGGATTACTTATCTTAAATGCTTGGTCTCTCAACAAAAAAGTGCACCACCTACATTCTTTACTGTTTCTCTCCTGTCCTGACATTGTACTTACCACTGAGTCTTGGAAAATCGAAGATACTTCTGATATCCACTTCTACATTTCAGACTTCCCTAGCTCTATCAACAATCGAATATCTCGCCGTAGTGGCGGCTGCCGCATATATGTGGACACTAAACATAACGCAACTTCTGTGTGCGACCCACTTTTAAATGGCTTTGCTGACTCCGTTTGGAATAATCTTCAAACAAAATGCGAGATCATCCTTATTGTCTTTTTACGACCCACCACACTGTCACAAATCGGATATGGATCACCTCCTGGAAGTCTTCTCATATGCTTCTGAGAAGACGCCAACCCAGAAAGTAATTGTTGGAGATTTGAATGCGTTTGAGTTTTTCTGGTGTCCACCATGGTCTCCATCAAAATTCCCGCATTTTCTTTCAGTAATCCATGCATTTTATTGGACTCAACAAACTTTATCTCCAACAAGAGATAAACACTTACTAGACTTGATCTTTACAAGGGATGTAAGTCTTAGAAGTAAACGCATCCTCCTCAATCTTTCTGGGAGTGACCAAAAAATAGCAGTGGTATGCTCTAAAGGAACCGCCTACAACCACGACACATCTAGAAAGTTTATAGGTTTTCCTGACTAGCACAATACTAACTAGATAGATTTTGCGATCTCTTGACTGGAATAACTATTTCCCTCACGTGAACCTCAACACGCAGTTGACGTAATATACAAAAAGGCAACCCCGTCTAGATATCTTCTGCCCGATACGTTATAGGCACACTTCTCTTAAGATGAGCCAGAACTCTATCCCATCGCATATAACACGAAAGCTTTGGAAGCTAAGGTATGGATTTAAAGAAGCTAACAACTAGTCTATTAATTCAGCAAAATCATCCTTAGAGACGAATCGGTCTTCAAAGATTTTCAGAAGTGAGAGCAATATGTTAGCGTCTTGCAATAAACTAAAAGAAATGACCAGATTATTCCAGCTCAGAAGCAACTTCAATCATGACGTACCATCTTTCACTATGAGTCAGTTATTGTCCCGGTTTATAAGAAGGGTGCTCGCACTTCGTGTACCAATCACCGGGGGGTTAGTCTCATTTCGGTTGCGTCCAAGCTATTGGCATCCATTCTACTCCGTAGACTATCTCTCATTCGCGAATCGCATACCGGGAAGAACAAGCTGGCTTCCGACCTGGCCGCGGGTGTTTAGACCAGATATCCACACTCCGTCAAATCATCGAACACCTCCAACTTTACCAGAGGCCTACTATCGTTGCATTCCTGGACATACGTGACGCATTCGAATCGGTTGATCGATCTTCACTATGGCGTTGTTTGCTAAGGAACAGCGTCCCAGAGAAGTACACTGCCATCCTACGCGCACTGTATTTCCACATCCGTGGCAGAGTGAGGGTGTATGGCTTTCGTCCTCCGCTGTCATTAGCGATGTACGATAAGGCTGCCCTATGTCCCCGTTCCTATTCAATTTTGCGACTGAAGACATCTTGTCGAGAGCTCTAGACGGTTGCCAAAATTTAGGTATACACCGGGCAAGCGAGCAACCGACTTAGATTATGCCGATGATATCGCCTTATTTGGTGAGGACTCATAGAGCATGCAAACCGTTCTAGACCGCTTGGCGATTGAAGCATCTAGGTACGGAATGTGCTTTGCCCCGTCAATGAGTGAAGTGCTGCTTCAGGATTGGCACTAGACGGTTCCCGTGCTCAACATTGAAGGTACACAGGTTGAACAAGTGGATAGCTTTGTTTACCTCGGCAACTGTGTCTGCTGGTGGTACCATTAGTAGGGAAGTTTCTCTTCGCATCGCCAAAGCTCGGTCGGCGTTTGTCAACCTGAGCACTTGTGGAGTCTCTGGGATATATCCCTTTTGGTAAATGGTCGTGTTTACAATGCCACCGTTCGGGCGGTGTTGCTATATGGAAGCGAGTCACGGCCAGTTCGCGTATACCATATGCGCCGGCTCTCAGCTTTCGACAACAGGTGCTTGAGGAGGGTTGCTGGTGTGTGGTGGCAACAACATATTTGCAACAGTGAAGTCAGATAGTGTCTTAGGGAATGCGAGTATTCCCTTCAACAAGCTGGTTTTGCTGTGCCAATTAGGATGGCTCGGTCATGTCCTGCGTACGTCAGCTGAGCGTCTGTCCTATCGCGCTCTGTTTGCTCGTGCAGGGCTTCACTGGAAGAGACCACGTGGCGATAGCATATGAAATCGTTGACTTCACATCTTGCACCTTTGGATCCACACGCCTGCCTGGTTGGGGACAAAAGGACGAGAAATGCCGAGGGCTGGAAACAATTCAGGATATGGTTCGTAATCGAAACCAGTGGAGGATCTGTGTATATAGCTGCTTGGATTTGAATACTTAATGACAAACGATTAAAAATGACAAAAAAATTAAACAATTACGTGGGCAAAATAACAAAAAATGCTCCGTTGTTTTTTATATTGCGGCACAATAGCTGAAGTGTGTTGCTCACCTTCAGTTAATGTGCCATGATGCTGATACGGTGTTCAACCTGTCTTCTTTTAGTGATTTCCATGGTTATGTTTGGCGCTGTGTCTATTTGAAAGACTGCTGACTATACCACTACTTTCCACTATACAGCCTGACAATAGCATTTCTGCGAACCCAGCTCAGATGTGAGGTTTTCAATGAATATTTCTCATCGTTTCCCACAGAGCAGTGCATGTTACCGTTGGCAAGCATCCATGCTGAAACTACCGGTTCCATCAATGCTGTTCGATTTGCGAAGTCAGACACGAGATCTCTGATCAACTCATTGAGATCGAGCTTTTATCCTGGCCCGGATGGAATACCGTCTGCTGTGTTTAAATTCGGAGGCCCTGATATCCTCATACTGTTTCAAAATATTTTTAAGTTATCCACGAGGTCTGGGGTTGTTCCAGATGTGTCGGAATATGCAAATACAAACTAGCTATCGGCCCATCAGCCATAACTCCATTCTGTGCAGAACAATGGCAAGGACAACAAAAGCCAAAGTCGTGGAATACCTATCGTTCCGGAACCTAACCAACACTTTCCAATACGGATTGCTGAGCACACGGTCATGTATAACTTGCCAAGTGCACATGCTAAACTTCGTTACTCGTGCCATTGATCGTGGTAAGCGCCTGATCATCAGATTTGTTGATGTACATACAGCGTTCGATCGTGTATCACATTGGAAGTCTTCTATCGAAAGTACATTCCTTCGGTATTACTGGCAATTTACATTCCCGGATATCATCATATATTCCTGCTCGGCAGCCGGCAGTTGGAATACTAAGCAATAGTTCCACAAGTAGGCAACTCACAAGTGATGTGATCCAAGATAGTGTTTTGGAGCCTCTTTTGTTCTTGATGCACACTGACGAATGTCTTCGATGTCATTAAGCACGGCAAACCATATATATTCGCCGATGACATCAAAAACGTCTATAAGTTGAACTCGGACAATATCAATAACGCCCTAACCGATATACAAGCAGATCGACACGAGATGGAAATTTAGTACGGCAACGAGAATCGAACTCTCGTCGGAGAAGTGTAATTGCATATACTAACGGTGCGGCACTGCATCTAATTCTTTGATGCGAGACGGTAAAACGCTGTCCACCTGTCTCGCAATTCGTGATCTTGGACTACGCGACTCAAGCTTCTTCAATTTCGCCGAACAGGTACAGTACACGGTTGCAAAAGCCCGTAAACCAGAAGGGCTATTACTAAAACCTGTTTATTTAATAAATCCAATTTTTACCTTCTCCATTAGAATATTGCTCATTAATGTACTCTGCCCTGAGGAAAAGTGATAGAACGGCGATAGAAAATGCACAGCACTACTTTACGAATCACCCAATGAGACTTGGTGATCTTACATTCTATGACTGCTGCTGTGCTATGAATACGGAACGTTTCTAGTTAAGCAGTCTGAAACTTAACCTGAGCTGCAGGTTTGATAAGATTCAGAAACGTTACAAATTGAAAAACCACGAACTGATATATATATATATATATATATATATACGACCAATAAACATTTGGCAGAGTGCCACAACACATGAGTAACAACAACAAAAAGGAGGAAGTGTCAGGGGAAGGGATGCGAAGATCCATGTGTTGTGTGGGCAGAGAGCTTCCCGGTTGCCCAGGCCGAAGAAGACCAACTGACTTAAGATCAGATTTATTTAGTAACCAATACGCAGTTAATGTGAAACAAGTTACCTCAAAATTAGGGAACGTGCAGCTCAAAGGTGACTTTCCTCACAGAGAATTGACAGCGAATAAGGTGAGAAACATACTCCATATGACCATAGACGTGCCTATAACGATTTTGTATGAAGAGCAAAATTAGCAAAATTCTCTGATTCGAAGTCAACTCACCACTGCCACATCTATTTTATTCATGAAAGAATAGTTTCCCGTATTTCTAACTCAATCTTTTTTGTCCGGAGATATCAACGCATAGATTACGGAGTGATTGCTAAAACCGGTCGATATCCCTCCTTACACACCTCGGCTACCCCAGATGGTCTAACCATTGACACCGACTCAGAACCACTTTTTATGGACAAATTGAAGACAAACTCTTCTTGACGATGCAATTGTAAAATGTGGTAGGCCTCGCAATTTCGAGACATAAACTATTGTTCCATTTTTTTACTCAGGATTCTCTTAGTTACATTCGTTTTGTAATGTTAAACATTTCTTCTTTCCCGGAGGCGACAGCACAGGAACAGATAGCAAGTCTTATTGTTCAGCGACACCAATATCTGTATCTTTTGATTGCATGCAGCTGTCGGATGAACCTGAAAAGTCCTTCCAGAACTGTCTTGCATATCGATAATTCGAGCAGTCATCTGTTTCCGACACTTTCCCTGTATGATTTGATAGTAAAATGAGTCGGCCTTGATTGCGCAGGAGCAAAACATGCCATTTCCTTATTTTCTTTTCCAAAAAGAGACTAACAGAGAACAGTGAGCTAAACGCAAATAATTATGATCAATTACTTCTTATTCAGCCGTATACAGCAATAAGCGTGGGTACACTGTTAGGTTTCATTCGTTAGGAAAAAAGAAGAAAAAGAAACAACTGATTGCTTATTTAATGAGGATCATGTAATTGAAGACCCGTGACTTTGTTGGCTATGTCCCCATCCCCCACACCCGGTGGTTGGTCATGGCAGTTTCAACGACTGCATCATTTTCCGTATTGGTTAGTATTGCTGTTTCTGCCCTTCTACCTCTATATATTTTATATTTTTCTTTGCTTCACTGTTGACCACGACTGCGTCGATCTCCTGAAGTGACGGGTTGAAGCTTCCAACGTTAATACTTATACCCATGCAATACACATTGCTTTTGGTTTCCTGATGAGAAAAAAGTGCTTGACTGAAAAAATCGATTGATTGTACGGGCTAGATGACCTGAGTGTCGACATTATATACATAAAAGAGCCCTAAAGATTAAGTACATAGGTCATAGTTTACCTGCTTTAAAAGCAGACGTGTTATGAAAGTGTGAGTGAAACCCATCGAGAAAATACCACGCATGGAAACAGATTCCCAGGAGACGGTTACATAGATGGTCGTGTTACTTCTCTTGAACATTTAGATTGATTCGGACTTATAACTTTTGACAGCCTCTCAATCTTCCCGAAAGACACATCCTATCAATTAGTTTGGCTCAATCCACCCAAAAAATAGTTCCAGAACTGCCCTGGAAAACACGAAAAAACATGTTTACGCGATTTCGCTGTACACAATGGTCATGCTATCCATTTGACCTGTGCCTCGAACGGTCGAGGAATATACGGTTATATTTTATTCGCCACCACTTCGTGTTGCGCATGCGAGACCATGGTATTACCTGTACACATACGATATGTGCCAAATATGGATGCAGATTCTCACCGGATTATTATTACTGATATTATTATCACATCCGCATTTGACTCCATCGTAGTCACCCTTCTCTATATGCAGGTGATTGACACCGTGCCTCACATTCGGTCCATCGTTAAACTGGAGCCGTTCTCCAGCACAGATCCAGTACGTCCTCTTATTTTTCAGATCAAACATGTTATTTATTTTAGTGATCATATGCCTTCATACAAGGAAGTGTGCTAAGCCCACTTATACTTATTTTCTGCATGAACGATACACTCCATGTGTTGGCGCATGGCTGTGCTTCTCCTTTTGCGGACGACATCAAGCTTGCCTACAGATTTCAACTAACTGTACTTCAGTTGGCTCTGAATATAATGCAGCGGTGTCGGGACAAGCTGAATGTTGGTGCTGCCTGTGGTAAATGACAATATTCGCAGACAAGTGCAATGTTGCAACGTATATATATACACCTTACCTGTGAATTTCCTTACTCTAAACTCTGTCACAGTTCCACCGAGAACTCTTGAAAATACTGTTGAGATGTTGGTGCTTGGTAGTGCTGCATAGTATCAGTTGGTGAATTCTCGAAAAATGCTCGCGTACGTATGTATGAGCGACGGTACACTAAAACTGACATGTCGCTTTAGGTTCCAGTTTACGAACCGAACGAGTCAGTAGCGTCAGAACTAAGCTACTTTCGTACTCTTATCTTGTCCGATGCTTAATAAACTGGAATATGCTCCCAAGTAACAAGACCAATCCGTTCCTACTGCCAACTTATAGTAGCCGTGAAACGTTGTCTAACAAAGAACAACATCAGTGATGTTTCTAAGCTCAATGTCGATTTTGGCGAGAACTATCTTGCGATGGTATGGTGGAAGTGTGGGCATCAATTTAATGCTGGACAGCGCATCCTCTTTCTGTTCCATTATGGCTTTCTGACTTAGTTCGATTATGCTTAACTAAAAGCTTTCATGTCCACATGGAAACTGAAAAGGAAATGCTTACCGATTTTCGTCTCTAGCCTTCGCTCCACTATTACTTTCTGTCCTCAGTTTGTCATGTTCACCGTTATGTCTTTATTTCGCTAAGTTCTTTCAGTGCGGCTCTGTCCACCTTGGCCCTCAACATGTCACGAGGCTAACTTGGCTTCAGTGCATATCAGCATAGTGAACTGGAAACATTCACTTTCGGTATTTCACAACACTGGATTCTATTGGTGTCAGTGTACCTTCTGATTGTCCACACGTTTTACTGCTGGTACACCACATAATACTTTTGTCAATGTGTCGCAATCCAACACTAGTTTCGGTTTTGAAAGGCAGTCTTTATTGCGAATATGCTTTATATGACCTATCTAATACGGGAGTGTGATGAGCGCAAATCAAGCTTGATATTTTTGTTTTCTTTGATCCAGTCCCATGTCTCTGGTGGTGGGATATGATGTCCCCAGTGTCAGCAAGTCATTTGCCGGAATCTTCCCGCAGGTTTCCTAGAACCATGACGTCTCATCCCAGTGAGATCACTTTACATATGAGAAATTGTAGACCGGAATGTATATAAAGCTGTACATTTGCTTTTTCTTGTCAGGTACATGTTGGATAAACGTCATTTTTACATCTATAATTAGGCACAATGGAAGGAAGATAAGGCATCTGAAATTAAAACAAGCTATCAATAAATAAAAAATAAAATATGTGAATTTCCGATTGCTAGAGCCAAGTGGTTCGGCTGCAAAATACGGGCAAATGGCGCGAAAATATCGCGTACATTTCAGAAAGACGTTCTATCACTGGACTCGCTGTTCACACCGCTGCCACCGGAACCGCTTGTCCCGGTATCTGACCGCCGCATTTGACCAAATGTTGATCCGCTAGGTATACTTCTTACGGATTCTCCAATTCTGTGGGTGTTACGAGAAGGCATTGTCAAATGGCTGAGTACTCTGGACACGGCGAGCACAATATCGGAAAACGTCGGTCGTCGGGCACCGTCGAAATTCCAACACTGTTGCATAATACTGTAGATGGAATCTGGGCACCGGCTTGGCTTGGAAAGCCTGAGACCTTGATCCAACATGGCCAGGATTTGTGCGCCTTTCATGCCCTGTGTTTGCCGAAGGGATGAGAACAATGGTTTGGATCTGCAACGTTATCAGTTACTTGACAACCTCTGTTACATTTATACTTACCCTGATGATGTTAGAAATACCCATCACTGATCGGAATACTCCCCACGCATATGACCTAAGGTTATCACACTCACTTCAAACCTTATACAAGTTCATCTGATGTTGCATTCTTAAATATAGCGGATGTCCCGACTGAGCATCGACCAATCACCTGTTGCGTCTTTTACGGGGCTCAGATTTGATATAACAATGGATGGGGTGGGTAAAGGAGGTTTCAACCCCTTGGAACCGATATCGTGTACTCCATTTAGTTGGAAGCACTGATGTGGGGCCAATAATATGCTCTGAGATTTCGTGCTGCATCTGCGCACACCAAGCAGTACACAAGGACACCAGTACAAACTTGTCGTACAGGATTTTAAGTGAGCCGCTCATCAACTCTGCTTCGAGTGGTGTGTGGTGAATATTTGGAACAACCTGCCAGCAGACATAATCGAAGCAAAGTCGGTGTCAGAGCATAAGAAACTCCTGGACTCGCACTCTGCCGACTTGAAATTTCGAGAATGGTCACCATCACCAGGCAGATTTGCAATAAAAATATCGGATGCAGCTACACAGAGGCATTTCTACTGGCTGCATTTTCTCAGTATTTACTATTCGATGTGAAATATCGGTAGTACACACCACAGAGGTAAATGCATACGGCGGGCCTAAAAAGATGATGTGTGGACGCGGGACTTTGTGTTCAACAAATAAACATTGCAGGTTATACGCAAAATCTGTGTATATTTGGCCAAATATCGCTTGATGTAGGAAGATAGAATAGACGTGCCTGCTTCAGCTCGATGCTTGTTGACAAGTAAGAACTCTATCTAAGGAATGTTTCACAGGGCGGTTTCCGTCTGTGCCGGTTGCAACTATTTGGACACCACCGCTACTATTCCGCTACGATTTTTTCTCGGAGTTCATACTGTTTATGGTTTGGTGTTATTTTGCAAAGGCTCCTATATGCATATTTTCAGTGAACGCGTCTATAGTCACATATCCCTTCTCCACTGTTAACCTGGTGCCAATTCGAAATGGTTCTAACGCTCATGCAGAAAACTGGGAACAGGAGTCAGCCGTCCCGGCAATTGCCTGTTTATTGCTGCAGAAACGTTGACGACTTCGAAAGCTGATCCCACAAATTTTTGTTCGACAGTTCTGCCGCAAACCACAAGTGAAAAGTGTTAGAACCCCTCATGTGTTCCTTCATTTTACTGTAGTTTCAAAGTTGGGTTCATAATCCAATGTTGTACAGAAATGTAGAAATGTTGAACTGATTGGCCACGAGAAGTTTAACTATGAACCGAAATGCAGCCCACTCGTCGTTAACTGGTAGCTCAGTTTGGTTTTTAATTAACTCCTCAGTGATGTTATTTGGCATGCATTTGAGCAGGACAGCAGAATTGGGAGCCACGAATGGCCATTAAAGGAAGAGGCTAGACCACAAATACATCAAAGGACACACAATGTTTAGATGAAAGGAGGAAAGGCCAAACGATGACTTGGTCAAGAAGGCGCTCACTTCGAAGTTGGTCTCAGTTGGTGCCTCCGGACTACTTGGGCGGGGTCCGAAATACGAATAACTTGTTGACAGAACGAATAACCGACCTCATTGGCGTCTGTGTCGTGAGTTTCTTCATCCCACCCCATACCGCTTGGCATTCCGCCCCCACACAACGATTTCAGTCTCGACGCATAATACAGATTTCGTTTTGTTTAGTCTTTGTCGTTTTTCTTCCTTACCCATTCCTTCCAACTACCATCCAACTAATTCGCATTGCGGTACAATAACTGCGGTGTTTCCCATCTCTAGCACTAAACCGCTGTTCATGCCTGTCGACCGGTGTCCAAGATGTGCTGCTACGATCCAGTCACACCAGTTTGCTGGGTACTGTTGAGGTCCGCCAATGAAAGTTAAGAAACAGCTCTTCTGGTACGGTACTCAGAGAGCTGATATACGTGAATAACCCACGCCGATCAAGTTAGGGATTTCATACGTTTACCAACCGCCTGCATCAGTGCCTCTTGTATATCGGTATGGTACACAGTTAAGTGCAGTTGGTCAAACGAAGTAATAGTGAAGAACGGAAGCTGAATGATTATATGGATTCTGTCGAAGTTCCACGTGCATCTTGTGGAATCCACTAGATCAACAGCTTCAGTGATTGGAGGATCCGAGTGTCCCGTGGTATTCTCACTTGTGACATCGTACTTACGATTATTATCTCACTCATCAGCACTTTTCTGCATCAGTCTCTCTGCTCAGAAACTGTAATCCCCTGGAACACATTATCTCAGTAAGCGACATAGTCAGACTAGGAACAGCCAATCGAAGCTTCTACTTCATGAACGCCGCGTGATTTCACCGACAACTTGTCTTCTGGCTAAACCAGCCGCTTTAGCCCCGCTTACTGTAGTAGGTAGTAGTAGACAGTAAAAACGTGACGCAAATGACCACTGGGAAAGATAGCGTTAACACATAAAGGCCCAGGCTAAGACAGAGAGTTGGTGGTAAAAGTGGATGGGACCATGGAAAACAAAGGTAATGGAGCCCGATGTTGTCACCGCCGTTAGATCACCTGCACTGGTGACTAGTCTGGACGTTCCAGAAAAGCGCTGGATTTATGGCCGTTTTGAAGAATATATTTGATTTTATGAATCATTAGTTTCTATTTTCTACTGATCTTGGAGGGTTTTTTGTATACTATTCAGAGTTAATAAGAACCAGGCATCCCTTAATGTAATCATAAATCGTTTTATATTTGGCCTCAGTATTTCCATTTTCGTCCGAAAGTGGACAAATCTGGTTTCATTACTGGCTATTTGCCAACATTAACCGGTATCCGAAAGACCAATTTGCGCTACCGTCTAGGCGGATCTGCGTAGATACAAATGACAACAAACAGATTAAATTACAAGCGTTCACTACGCATCAGAAGTACGCATCGGACGAGAGACATTGATTAGCCATTGTGTTTACGGCATGGAGGATTGTAGTAACAGCAACGCTTGGTGACTTCCATAACGCATACTGAAGATCAGTTCTGCTCATGGTCGTCCGATTACATTCATCAGAGAACGGAACCACATGGATAAGGAACATAAGGAGAGTTCATTGTCAGCCAGACTGGTCGATGCCCCTTTTCATTAAACCTGATTTATTCTGCCATCTTACATTTGCAGTTCACGATAAGATTATGGTTGTAGACACGGTGACTTTGATAAACAATGATAATCCGATATACGCTGTTGATGATATTTGGAATACTTCGCATACCAAGCGACCGGGTAGAATGAACACACCATTGAGGGCCGAAAATAAAACCACAATCTGTTAATCGGTTCCATAGGCACTCACTCGATAAGGACGTTCGCCGTAAGAGTAGACTTCCCACAGTGTGATGCCATAGCTCCACACGTCTGATTTGGTATCGAATCGAAAGTAGTAGATACACTCAGGTGCATACCATTTAAGAGGCCATTTGCCGACTGTTGAAGCCTATGGAAGAAGGGGATATAACGGGGCACCACAGTCAGAGTACAGTTGGACTTGTTAGAATAGATTGCTTTTATCACAAATAATAATAATCCATATCCGCGATCATCATCTGAACAATGGTTTATCCTGGGTAAAAAAGCAATTGCTTGACAAGTCCCGCAGGATGGTGGGGGTAAAACTACAATTATCAAACGATAGGTGGGTTGTCTGTTTGAGCGGTTATCTAGCAGATAACAGTGGTTTAAGTGGGAATTGAATGTGAACAACGACGCAACATGGGGACAGTTACAGTTGATGTACTCCGTGAGAAAAGCAAAAACGAGAAAACTCACCTCGGGTTTGACGCATTAATCCAGTTTGAAGGGATAATTAACATATTCAAAACTAGCACAGTTTAAGCAACGAAGTGATGGGAGCCAAGGGCAAGATCTAATCGTTTATGATAGAGATCATACAGCTTAAAGCTCTTTACGGTAGCTGTAACACTTTGTGTTATGCAACTGTGTCATGCAGCACAGTTGTCGGCTCACGTAGTACAGAGAAGAGTGGAATAGCCATCGAAAATCATAACAAGCAGTGAACAACGATCAAGGTCTGTCACTCGTTAACAGAGGAACTATTTGTACCGTACAAGAAGCCACACCCATCCATTTGCCCCTGCTGTCGGCTATACGACGATCGTATGACTTAAGCGAGCTGAATATGTTGTTTGAATTCAAACATGGTGGCCATTTCTGCTCTATTCACACCGGACCAGATGGATTCAGAACTGACCATCTAACCTACAAGATTGTCATTAATACCTTGGTCATGAACCAACACGTAGGTAGTGCCTGTTTTTCTAAACGCGCTGCATTCGTGTCCATTCCACTTGCCTGCTTTTTCAGTGACCTTTTCAGTTAGCTCATGCATCCACATTAATTAGTAACCCCGTGATCGACAGCTTCGGTATAGAGGTGAATGGCTTCCGAGTCGCTTGAGCTTAATGATATGGCACGATATCGTAAAGGTGTTCATCAGCACGTAGTACTGATGTGCGAGGAGCAGGGTCGCCGCAGTCTGTTTGCAGCTTCACTTTCGTTAATACCTAGCTTCGGGATGCTTAGACGGACCACAATGACGCGATAAATATTGCCAACCGGGAACTGCATGCCATAAGGAATATGCTGTTCTGCTATCCCAACTGTATTACTTGAAAATCGGAGGACTTGTCACTTCGTTGCAAGTCAAACTCAATAGGATGCTAGGGAGATAGAGAGCAAATCAATCCATTGGAAAAACGCACGGTGAGAGTGGTAAAACTTACAGTGACGATTAGAATAAATCGCACTGAACAGATGAACAATGGATAGATAAGTGAAACGACTCGAAAGGACGGGAAAGGAGGAAATCCTTTAAGTAACAACCAAAGTGGGCACGTGGTGGATGTAACGCAGTAAAACAGACTGATTGAATGTGAGAAAGTTATACGTTCAGAATGTTGAACAGAAACGGCTGACAGCAGCAAATAAAGTCTGTGAACAGAATCGATGGTCGGGCGGAGGAGAGAGCAACACACGGATACGGGTTTACCTACCATAAATCCAATCATGACAAGCTACTCATTAATTTGAAAAGCACGGAAAGAAGACAAAGGCTAGTAGATGCATGCATTTCATATTATCTCCTCAGTACCATTAACAATAACCGATATGTACAAATACAGCTAACAATGGGTGCAACCAGACAAGCTTAAGGTGCAGAATGAATGAAGTTCACACCTACGTCCAAGGCAGCTTTAGGCTGACAAATAAGTGTTTCTGAACACCCAAGGCTGGCTTCATCCGGCTTATAGCGACAGCCTCAGCAATCCGAAGGAAGCGGGGATTAGTGTGACGTAACACAACTTTAAACGATGTGCCCAGCTCTATCCTGTGACCCGAGTCTAATAGGTGTTTGCCTATCGAGGAAGCCGTCGGTCTGCGCGAACACGGAATGTGTCGAAGGTAGGCAATCTGAGCAACTTCACACTGAACGCATCTTGGTACGTGCTTCTCTATTCCGAAGTCAGAGTTCTATTAGTTGCGACATATCGTTTGTAGTAGGGCACAGTAGAAATGCTTCTTTCTACCATCAGCATGAAGAAATCAGCGAGAACAGAACCTAATGGGCTACCCATTGTTACGCCGTCAATTTGACGGTATGATGTATTCCGGAAGTGAAAATCTACATTCTTCGTACACAATAGTAGAGATTCAGCAATTCAGTCGGAATTGGTAGCGAACTGAATACTACTGAATACTGTATTTTGGACCAAGTAGAAAATAATTCTGTACAACTCCATCGGGTGATAATCAAAAAACATTTTAAAAAAATAAACACGTCCGGTGGTTATCCTGCTAATTCGCACACCTAATCAACCGTCTGATCTAGCGGGACGTTGGTAGATAAGGATTCTACATCCAAGGAACATAACACTTTTTCTGACAGGTTGAGTTCATCCAGGTCGCCGATGAGTTGAAACCAGTATTTGTACGGATTGAACTGTTGTTTCAACGGAGATAGCAACTGTACTAACCAACGAGCGAGTTTATGCTAGGGCGCGTTCATCATTGAAAGGATTGGCCTGAGTGGCACTTCACTTACGTTCTGCACCTCAAGCTTGTCTGGTTACACACTTAGCTATATCTATGCATATCGGTTAGTGTTAATGGTACTGAGACAATACGAAATGCATGCATCTACCAACCGTCTTCTTTCCGTGCCTTACAAATTTTTAAAGGGAACTAACTACTCATTAATTGTCAGTAGAATAGTTCCTTCTTGTGAGTTTAGTAATCACATCGTGCTAGTTCCCGCATCAAGTGTGGTGGCAAACTGTTGATTCCCCTTGTGATCGTCGGGTCCGTTTCTACTTATAAATTAACACATCCTTCTAGGCGAAAATTAGTGATGTTGCACACACGAACATCGAGGTGTTATTGCATGCAAACCGTAGACCATAGGCTCGGCACGATTTAGCAGGAAACCAAGGGATGAGCAAGCCGCTATGTAGCAAAATCGGAGCACAGGGCAAGGGTGGGAATAACCAGGCCACACACTTCAGATTATGAAACCGGTTTGACAGCCTCAGAACACAATGCATACTATGGAAAAGTCAGAGGCCAAATGCTAGAAATCGCGTTCATCAACACATCTACTCGGCTGCTGTGTTTAATTTACTCCCGAAATGCAAAGAAGAAATTTCGACCGCATACTCGGTAATAATCGCTGCCGAATTTCAGAGCCTTGCTCATCCCAAAGTCGCTAATTTTAGCGAAGTGACGATTGACAAGCAGCACATTACGCGCAGCCAGATCGCGGTGCACAAATTTGCATGACTCCAAATAGGCCATTCCGAGAGCCACCTGATGCATGAGCTCAGTTAAGGTATGCACGGAAACATCCCTGAAACGAAGAGAAAATGCATTAGAGAGTTGCAGGGGATAATTTGAAATATAAGCACACCTCATATAACTGGACAATCTCAGCAGGTTTTCATGTGAGTTGAATGAAGCCAGTACCAGAAAACAGCTAGATTTCTCATGCAAGGTGCCATGACGTAACAGCCAATAGGACTACTTTTATCACTGGATGTAGGGTTATTAGCTAGTTAATCCAAAAGTAGCAACGAGAGGAAGTCTAGAGGCATGCTACGAAGGTCAAGGGCCCATGTTGGTATGATCGGTCTATGTTTGGTATAAACATTGCCGAAGAGGAAACCAAGTCAATCATAGTGAATTGAGAGACTTAAATCCCTGTCGCAATTTGAGATGCTGAAGTGATGAAGTCACTGCATTTTGGTAACTGGGTGTTGAAATCCAGTGTGATCTACGCACACAGTGGGTCCTCTTAAGCAGATCGGCTCGCGTTGGTGTCCACCACCTGTCACTATCATGCTGTCACACAGCTTTTCGACGCGAGGAGCAGTCAATCTGCGTCAAACACAAGTAAAGAACACTGGTGTCCCATCGTCATCCCCTTCCGGATACTTGTCGGAATCTAATAGAGAAGGCATCAATTTCTAGTGAATCAAAAAGCAGGGCCGGTTTCGGAACCCGTAACTGTCTCAGCAAATGCTTTCGTGATATTGGATCGGAAAATAAATGCCAACTCACAAGCCGACTGATGACTAAGCCCATTCATTTGTTCATGTAACGTTGCCGTTATGATCGCTGAAACAATCTTAGTGATACCTGAACAACGGAATAGTTAGAGTCGCCCCAATCTATAGCATGGACCAACACTGCGCGCTTGTCTTAATAGTAATATAATGTCACAGCAATTGATAGCAAATTCCACTCCGCTTATCCTCGTGAAATGTCCTACTGGTGTATCACTGTGCGGTGGCACCCACCAGTACCTTACTGGCACGGATAAAATATGTACCGATCGAAAGCGGAGCAAGTGAATGCGGCGCGAGAGGAGATAGAAAGATTTAGGGTTCAGGATTAAGAACAGAAGGCACTAATCAGCCAAGTTGCTTCACTGATTACCAACAGAATTCACAAAACAGATGGGTATAGTTAGATTAAACCCATGAAGCTCACAAAGTTTTGTGGAATGCCCAGAGTTCTGTGCTGGAAATGTTACATAATTTTGCAGTTTTTTATGTTGGAGAGAACTTCCGTGTTTGTAATAACAGCTTCAACAACTTGGTTAGCAATTTAAGGCCAAGAAATTCAGTACCTCACAAATGACTCCATTTCACCTAGGTAACTAGCCAAACCCAAATGCCATTAGAATATCGTAGGACGTTATGGTTCTTCATGTCACGAATTCACTTAGAGCGGCAGTAGACTGCTTGAGTTTCATCCAAACGACTCAGAGAAAATGAGCATATTGCTCACAGTGTATCACGATGGGATCATATGGTGCAACCATGAGTTTCGGTCACTGAGACCGTAGCTGAAGCACATACACCCCACAACTGGCTCCCAGCATAATTGTACCTGGTCAGGTGGAATCCATAAAAAGAATCCACCGAGGAATCATAAACTGTTGTGACAAGTGTGGCCCGCGGAACAGTGGACTAATGGCAACGACATCAATCAGTAGTCTCTCCAATTCTGGATTCGAACTGCAGCCATGCTATTCCTTCCCGGTAAGCGTGAATGGATGTAGTACTTCGAGCGCGCAATGCCCAACAGTTTTATTCTTACACCGTAGTTGCACTCATGAACCAAATTCCATATGTGCCCGAAATATTTATAATAATGATAGAAAACTTCAAAAGTGCAAGAAGGAAAAACATTTCAGCTGGCGGGATATCCTGAATTCAGTGTATTTCAATGATCGGAGCGCCACCCTAGAAGTTGGCGCGATGGCTAGCCCGAGTAATTGAGTCTATCCGACACGACCTAGCGCTGTATAGCCTAAAATATTCCTTTGAGTTCATTGACAAGATTAGAAAATTAAACCTGGGAAACAAACGCATGGTGTCCTTCGACGCCTGTTCACTATTTACAAATGTACCCTTGGAGGAAACGTTAGACATCATAGGCAGAGACGCGAATAAAGTGGGGATCCAAGCACATCGACTAAATATATTATTTCGCATATGGACAAAAGGTGTTCAGTTTTGACTCGATGAAAAAATCTACCGACAAGTTGAAAGTGTGGCAATGGGTAGCCCATTTGGGCCTATTTTAGCCGATATTTTCATGGCCCGTCTGGAGAACACAAAGTTGCGTCAGCACATGCAGGAAGCATGCTTTTATGCCCGTTACATGATACATGATACATTTGTCAGCAAGCGCAGAGCATGCTAGACGCGTTCAACAGCTGTCACCCAGAGATCGAATTCACCATGAAAATCGAATCATTAGACAAGTTCCATTTCTTGGATATAGCCTTAGAGAGACCATGTCGATTTATCATAAACCGAGTTGGACAGGGCAGTACCTAAATTTTAACAGCTACTGTCCCCTGAGCCACAAACGCCCGTTGGTTCGCACTTCTTTTGTGAGAGCCCAACGAATTTGTTTGGAACAATCGATTGAGAAAGAACTAGAGCGTCATTTTCACCTTACGCGCTAATGGTTATCATGAGAAATTCGTTGCGAAGTATGGGATAGAAATTGCGTGAAAAGAAAAACCGGTTGATGATTCCAAGAAACTCTTTATTACATTACCGTACAAGGGGGAACAGTACGGTCGAAGGTTCTGCCATCGCTTACGCCAGTCCATAAAGAGGTGCTACCCTGCAGCTGAGCTCGTGCTGCTGCACCAAACCAGAAAGTTGCTGCACCAATCCAACCTAGACAGGCCTCACTCTCAAGTTACCGCCTCCTGCGTCTACCAGTTTAACTGTACATGCGGTAGCATGTACATCGGTCGGACTGAGAGAAGGCTGTCTATCCGGATTTCTGAGCACATCCCGCAAAATCCAGCTTTGACTAGTGCGAAACTACCTGCTAGCTCAATTGCTAGGCACTTGCTCGACTGTAAAGTGTGCCAAAACCCCCGAGACGCATTCAAAGTGTTTAGTAGGCAAAGCAATCCTAACCTGCTCCGGTTCACTGAAGTTGCCACCATCCGGCGCCTAAAGCCTAACCTATGCCAGCAACTGGAACTTGTGCCCAGTTTTGCTCTACCGTGGTAAGATGTGATTTTTCCTGTACAGGAACTGCCACAGCCGATTATCGAATCTTGGGATTGATTCCGTTTCACTACCGTTCCTTTAAAGTTTTCATTATTAGTATGTATGCGATGAATGAGAATACGCGAAATATAATGAATTCAGGATATCCCGCCAGCTGGAATGTATTTCCGCCTTGCACTTTTAAAGTTCTTAATTGAAAATGGTTGTATGAAGCAATGGTAGGAAAGCTGGGTAGCTTCGAACGCGAGTACAAACAAGCAATAAGTGGTAACCGCATCGGACATTGTGCCCCAGATAAAGAGCTCTTGAAGCCCATTGATTAGGGCTGAAAAGCGGCTTTACTCTGTGCAATTCGGCCAGTCTGCTAAAACGGAACATGTTTGATCATGAGTAGAAAGACTGAATTCACACCCGCCAAGACAGGGATCGATATTCGACAATATCGCGCCCGGTTAGTACGTGTCAACCCGGTTTCTGTGCTCTGCTGATACTTTAAACCCCGGTTCGTTAATCCACAACCGGGAAGCACATTTTATGGGTAGATTCGATCGGATTTCGTAACCGACTGGGTAGATGAGGTAAAGTGTTTTGCCACGTATGCTTGATTGTATGCCCCACTAGACGAGATTTGAACAATAACTGCTGGGCCAATTGTCACTACAGTCTACGACCTAAGCGTGTTCACATCCAGAGGGGACATGGCTTGAAAAGCACCAATGATGTCGTGACGAGAAGCAAGTACTCGTTGTTGTAGGCGAACCTGGCATTCTGGGGAATATTCGAGAGGGCATGATCTAATACAAAGCGAAACCAAGAGATAGAAAAATAAATGGGACAACTCACTGTCGTTTCTTCAAATACTTGTTGATTGGGCCTAGTGGGACAAGTTCCAATATGAGCATAAATTGTTCCTCTTTACAGACACCTTCGGTCATGAAGGATGAACAGGCGCGGAGTTTGAAAAAGAAAAGAGAATCAAAAAGCAGAAAGTAAATCATTAGACATAGGGAGTAAACCAATAAATGAAACCAAGTACGATTGGTGGGGCGAGTTGAACTCCCACTCCAGGGCTACTCATATCAGCACGGTCTTTGAGAGGAAAAATGCATAAGCAACCGAATTGAAAAAGATGGCGAAATCTCTCACTGACTCACTGAAAGATCTATTTTCCCTATCTTAAGTTGTGTGTGGGATACCGTTGTTAAGCAGGTGGTCAAACTAAGCATAAAACTCAATGCAACCATGTTCAAAAGATCTAACCGTTAAACAGAACACTCGATTATTCCAGCCGAGTATCATTTTGTAGTCAATGTGCTTTGGGCTCGCCGATCATCAAGTTGAAACAAAATTCCACTAAAGAAATGGATAAGACAAAACCGAGCGCGCTAATTAGCTTGCACCCCGTAACAGCACCACAGATGAACAATAAAGTGGAAAAAGTAAAATAACCGTAAACCAGAAGGGCAAAGCTTGCAGTACTGTTGCTTGTGGACCAGTAGGCTTACGGGCAATGAGAAGCACCAGGGTATGTCTATGTAGTGCTGTTAGGGCAACTGTAAGGATTCAGTCGACCAGAAAAGCGTAAAGGAAACGTCACAGATAACATCTACGCCAACGGGAATCGTGAGTACTAGTGAAAGCGCACCGTGTGCTTCCGATTCACTCGACCGGTCGGTCAGTGAAGTTTGCGTAACTCGCATGCGTACCTTTTCTAACAGAACGACCCAATCAAGCCGTTTCACTAAAGTTAGTGAAACGATGTAATACAGGTATATTTTTGTAAACATTCATAACTACAAACCTTCGTTTTGTCATTACATTATTGGGGCTTGGAGTACCCACCGCGTCCAAATCAGGACGAAAGCGATCGTTACTGGAGTGTGGTGTCGGGAGAGAGCAGCTCCGAAACTCTTCATATCGGATGCGGTCCCAGTGATCATAATGGTAAAGGTTTGCTTCAAAGCAAACTGAAACCTCGATCGAGATTGCGTGTTACAATCGAGACACACAGTAGGTACTGCAGAACCAAATAATGAACTTCTAACCGCGATGTCAAGCGTTGCAGTGGAGCTCTGGCTTAGTGTCCGAGATGAGAGCCGTCAACCACTGCGTCAAGTTTGTAGTGGAAAGGCCAAACGGAAAGGGCTTAACTACATATAAGAACTCAGTCTATAAGTAAGAATGCTGTAGTTGACCTTAGGTTAAAGCACGATCTTCGCTAGGCTCTCAGTTAGTCGCACAATCTGGTCGGAAGACGTAACTTAGTCGGCACAATAAATCGACGCGTTAGATCCGATGATCGATGGACGAGGTCAGCAGACAGACGACGACAAACAGCACAACACGCGGAGCCGAAACCAGAAGGCGAATCGAAACCCGAAAAAGTGTTTTATCGGTTGTTGGTCAGTTAAAACAAAACTGTACAATAATAATGGAAGTGAGAATAGGAAAGTACAATGGGGAAGAAAGATATGTACAAGCGCTACAAGTTAACGCTACCTGAGGAGTCAAAGTCAAGGACGAAACCGGTCGCTCCTGAAATGCAGTGTTGGGACAGAGCAGCTCCGAAACGCTGCACTTTAAGCCTGAATCTTATTCCTGCTCGTTCGAGTCCTCAATACAATTAGTGGATGGAAACAGTCGCGGGCTCGACAAGACAACGTACACAAGCTTTAACACGAAGAATATGCGTCATCAACATTCAGTTGTGACAATAGTCCCCTGTCTAACAAACACTAAACACACTTTCTCCCAGAGTAGCATTTGGTAAGGTAACTCGGCCAACAGAGCTACAAAAGCCACGTCTACACTAGTTCATTTACACTCGCAACTATTGGGAATACAGCTACCAGGTAGCTGGCTGACAAACTTACGTTATGTGAACGATATAGCTCTCCGTCGGTGGGACACCTATCGAATATGCATGTGCGATTAACTAGGCTGATGCATAGCACTACACGTCTCTGCATGTGCGTCGCACAATCAAAACGCAAAATACTGTTGAAAGACTAGTAGTCAACAGCCACTGGAATCGGTCGGTCGGTTCACTCACCTTGGGTAGTTGTAGCATCTTCGGCAGTCAGATCTCTGACGAAGTTGTTTCAACTATCATTGGAACTCGTGCGAGTTTTCAAAGTCTATAGAGATGACGGGATATTAGTCTGCCAGTCAGAGATTGGGTCTACCACGCTGTAGTACGACCGAATCATCAACACAGTAACTTCAGATGGAACACATTAACAGACACTCGTTATTGATCATCGGTACTTATGGAGTGTCTCTCATATATTTTGGATGAAACGTGGCTATTGTTTAGATAGAAATCCTATGATGCTGCACGAGTATCCGCCAGAATGGAACCGCTTATGCTGCCTATGTCCTGTACGCTGCATGCATGTTAACGGTCTTCGTCGGCGTGCATTATACGCGGTCGCTACACATCTTGTGCTATTTGATTCATTATGAAAATACTGTTGTACTACTAAAATTTGACATGACCCCCACACACTGCAGATGCGTGGACGATGCATCATTTGTGAACAGCCCACACAATGGTAGGAGAAGTGGGTGTGCTTTTTATTTTAATGACCAGTAATTTATTCAATTAATACCAGACTACCAAATCAGCATTATAAAGAAATCTGTGTGTATCTCCGTAGGAACAAGTTACCTTCTAGTTTTGGTTGTATGCGGTGAAATCATAGCCCCCATCAGTTGACTACGGTCCTTATCTTATCTAGAGCCGCACGGTCTACCAACTCCCCCCCCCCGATAAAGTGCGGGGGTCAAAACATATCAATTAGACTTCTAAGCGTGTTTACCTTATATATGAACATTGACATAATTCCGAACCAATAGTAACTCGATATTATAGAGCCTAGACATAATAGTGGTCCAGAATAACACATTAAAAATTACCGTCTAATTACCCACATACCTAATATCTCAACAGCATGGAAAGAAGTGTGAAAGAGCACTTGTGATCACTGGAATTTGATGAGTGCATACAAAGGTGGACTCTTGCAAAAGCACACGGTAGACTTGTCATCCCATAGTGCTACACTGTCTGACAAGACCCACTAGTAATCGCAAAACGGCCCTCATTCCCCCCATCAATATGTTGAAACCATTTGACAAAGCGCCTCACGACAGCCTCTTGGAAAGGTTAAAAAGTTTCGGAATCACCGATTCCTCGTGTGCATAGTTCAAATTCTGTCTCACACTAGCACGCAACACGTACCAATATGGCATGTGAAATCTCGTGCCCGAAGGTCAAAAGTGACATCAGTCTGGGTTATGTATTGGGCCCCTTGCTCTTCTTAATGTATAAAAGATATAACCGAAACAATAAAATTTGAGACGTCACAAGGCCCATTGGCTTTGGAATTGTGTTGCACCGATTGGCAAGTGCAGTGTAATGACCCGCACGTTTGAACTCTCTCCTAACGCCTTTTAACTCGGCATGAGCAATACCCCATCCGTTAATCCAACAATCTGAATTTTGGTGAGCAAGTGAAATTTTTATAACTGCCAGATTACGAAGAACTGGGAAACTCATCCCAAAGTCATTTGCGATTGGTGTCTCTCAGCTTGATTTGTTTAGGACCCGCATTCGCTCTGTGGTAGAACGCTGCGCGGCTATTTTTACAAATGGCAAAGAACGCGTGCGCGTGTGCCTACAGGACGCGCAGTTAGTATTCACTAAAAATCCCTTCAATCTCTCATCGGAACCAACTTACTCCCAACGTTTTGAGATGCTGCTATTAGAGCCGCCGTGACGAACGTATGAAGTTGGGCTCAAAATGTCCATTTAACCTGGTCCATAAAGGTTTATTCGCACCAAATATTACCATTCACTTCAAACACGAAGGTAGATACGCAGTTAAAAATATCAAGTGCTTATCCTCAGTATAAAAGCGAAAACTAGTGTTTAAAGAAGAGTTTACCTAAACAGCTATACTGAAATTCGGAACTGCTTGCAGTTCAAGATGGCAGTCTTTAACAACAGTACAATAAGTAAGAACGATTGGAGAGTCATTTCGGAGTACTCGTGTGAATGGATTGCGACGCGCAATCTCAATGTAATGGACTGCGATTCACATTGAAGTGACCCTTTGTCAATGCGATCACTTGGACCGTAGTCGAAGCGGATGGAAACTGGGTGTTGCCCGCCCGAAAACACTGCACACCAGTGTTATCTGGCGAGCACTACTCAATTTCCATCTGCTTCGGCTACGGTCCAAGTAAAAACGATGTTGCAATTAAATTGCAGTGAAAAAAACATTAGATGAAAAGGGGGCCGTGACATAGATGTACTGATTACAAGTGATCACCAAATGTCCTGCTTACCGTGGGACTCATGGAGCCGTGCAGTAGACAAAGAAAAAGTATGGCAGGATCCCTTTCACTCTTTTCCATCCAAACCTCTTTATTTTTTTACTCGGGAAAGCATTCCTCGCCGTCTCACCAATAAGTTGCAAACTGCAACTGATTTGCCGCTATTCCTGTTCTACTTGATCAGCTATGTCTACCTTACAGCCGTAATAAAAGTGTTGTTGGGTTAGTAAACACCTTCCGCAGATGATTGCGTCTGCCACCCCGAATACGCAGCCAATAAAGCGAAATGACGTCCCATACAAACAGTCAGCGTCATCAATCGCCCACCACCTGCTGGCTGACAACCATTTTGTAGACCCTGCACAAGCCTTCCGTGTTATCTATACCTCAGTGAAACCCCCAAATTCACGATATGCTGAACCGTGGCCATCAAACAACTTGGCCCAACTCTGTGTGTGCAGAAAGACGCATTTGTGACCCTTGCTCTACTGTAGTAGTGGGACGGGAACAGATGACACGGTGACTTGTGTGTGTGTGTCCAGTTTAGTCGATTAGTATTTTCAACTGCCCTCCTTTCATGATGCTATA